TCAGAACCCGAAGGACCACGAGGCGAGTGTCCCTCTCCTGTCACTGCAGGGCTCTCCTTTCTGCCCTCGTTTGCTCACTTCTGCACCGGCGACTTCCCCTTCCTGTTTCAGTTTTATCTTAAGTCGTTTTGCATCATTCTTGTTTCTTTTATTCTTTTGGCATTCTCTCTTTGCACGTTACTTTAAATTTCTTTCAAATATATGCCCTTTACAAAAGAAAAAATGTGCCTGCCTATAGGGTGGCGATCAGTATATCACCATCTGATTTTTCTAGCTTGGAATATAACTATGTTGGTGTCACTAAAGCCACCCCAAGTTTGAGGATTTCCTAGGACCATTCACAGCGGTCAACAGTTGTCTTTATGGCTATGATTTATTATTACAGCAAAATCGGCAAAGGGACAAGGCATAGGGGTGAAGTCCGGTTTCCAGAGCCTTCTCCCAGTTGTGTCATTCAGAGCACTTGTAATTTGCCAGTGCTGAGTTGTGACAACACGCGTGAAGTATTGGAAGGTCTTAGAGACCAGCGCCCAGGATTTCTGTTGGGGGCTGCTCACGTGGGTGCTCTCTGCCAAGCACAAGTTCAAATCGCAGATGCCCGGAGGAAAGCAGGTGTTCCATTGAGCCGTGTGGTTTGTACAGACAGTCTAGGCACCGAGGGGCACCCTCGGCAACCTCCCGAGGTCAGGTTCCCAGATGCCACCTCCTTGGCTGGCCCGTCTGAGAGAGCGTCATGCCTGTTTTGGGGGTGCCTCTCTGTGCGGGGCACTTGGAGGCTTGCTCAGCCTGTGATGGCTGCAGACCGGCTCCGTGCAAGCACCTGGCTCAGGGGCAGATGTGGGTGGGCCTGTCCCACTCTCCTCTGCTGCTTGGCCGAAGGACAGTCCAGGGTCAAGGTGGAGTCTTGTTTTACTGACCGCTGAAAATAGGGGCACTTGTCTTCGATTGGAACTTGAGAATTTTTTCTTACATCTCCTGTTCATCTTTTTATCTGCTTTTCACCTTCTCAAAGGCTAATTGCTCACTGAGGAGTGCCAGCGAATAGAAGCTATCATACTGATGTAGTGTGATTTTTTCTTTGCTCACTTTGCTGTTTCTTTGGTCTGCTGGGACAGCCAGCCAAGTCCGTGTGATGGGTGTGTGGTGGGATTTGGGGGAGATGCGGAGGAGCCAACGATGGCCTGCACCCCAGGTTGCTGGCGCGGTGGACATTGAGTGGGCAGGGTGGACAGCAGGCAGTGTGGTTCCCTCCATCCTTACATGGGGGTCATTTCCCTTTGCTTTGACCCCTCAGACTTGGGAGACTCGCTACATGCTTCTGCTCTGGCTCTCCATGACCTGCCTGATCCCTTTTGATTTTTCACGCCTTGATGGGAATCTCGTCACTGAACCTGAACAAACGCAAAAGTCCGTAATGGACCGGATTCTTGAGATAGCACAGGTGAGTGTGGTCACGCAGTCGTCTCTAGTGTTCCAACATGCTCATGCTGTCTCGATAGTAGGTTGAGTTTTAGGTGCATTTGTGACATTTACAGATTAATCCAGCTGCTGTCACTATTTTTCAGTGAGGTGAAATTCTATTCCATAACTGATTCTGAAATTGTGATAATTCATATAGAGGTCAGGGCGAATTACTGTAGCAGGTCTCGTTTCTTTGTAGATATTGCAGATGCTCTGTTAAGCATAATGATGACAGGTTCCATAGGGCAATGGTGAGAGAATAAAGCCTGCATTTAATTTAATTTTTAACTTAAATAATACATGACCATTTTAGGAAAACCAGAAAGTAAAGAGAAGCACGAAGGATATTAAAGTTCTCAAATTCCAGTGTAACACTCGTGTGTCTTCAGACCTCTCCTGATGTAGACCGCGCACATGGACGCAGCATACTGCATCATCCATCACTGCGTACAAAGCCACCCTAAACTTTAGTAGTTCCCCACATGGTTATTGTCCCACAGCTTTGGGGAGCCTGGGATTGGGCTGTGGCTTTGCTTGGCCCCCCACCTCGGTCTCCCTGGGCTGCAGTCCAGGCGCTCAGGGTGGTTGGCAGTAGACGGCTTCTGAGGCTGGTGGACTGAGGGCCTTGGTTCTTTGCAGGCTGTCCCTTGGCCTGTGGGTGCCCCCCCCAGCAGGGCAGCTTATTCTGTCATGGCCAGTAAGGGGCAGGGTCTGCTAGCAAGACGGAAGTCACTGGTATGTCACCAGGTCATAGGAGTGACATCCCTTCCCCACCACATTCTCTTGGTTAGAAGCAAATCGCCATGTCCAGCTCACACGGGAGGGATTACCCAGGGCATGAGGCCAGGGCCAGGACCAGGGCCCTCTGCCTGCCACACCTGCTCGTATCATCCAGTGAGCACCGCTGTGTGCCAGACACCGTTCTGGACACTTCGTATATTAACTCATTTGATCCTGCTGATGAGGCAGTACACCGTTTTTATCCACATTTTGCCAGGGAGACAGCAGGCACAGAAATAACGAACTTCGCTGGTTTGTTTTCTTGTAAATCTGGTGGATCCAGATTTGGACCCCGGCCACCAGGCCTGCACACTTCACGGCGCTGCCCACTGCCCGCTGGAAGGACGGCCCTCGGCCGTACGTCTGTCTGTCCTTGTCCGTAAGATGTCTCCTTCCCTCGTCAAGGGAGGAGGTGCTTGCTGTGCCCTGATTCTGAATGGTCTCTCGCCGACGGACAGTTGTTTCTGGCTGTCTGCTAGAAGCAGCGCAGCCTGGAGCGCCTTCACATCTGCGTGTGCCCGTGTCCGAGTGCACCCGCCAGCGGGGGCCAGTGCCTTGGCACAGCTCTGGCACTGCGTGGCGCTGCTCTGCAGGCCTGTGAGGAAGGGCTTTGTGTGAGTTGAGGTGAGAGGTGGACCGCCTCGAAGATGAGCCTCCTAGGAAAGGCGTTCGTGTTAGACCCAGGCCTCTTCGTGCTGAGCGTCCAAAGTCTGCTCCTTGGGCACGCTGTCGCAGTGGGGTAGCACATACGTGTTTCATTTTTCTGCAGTTTTTGCAAATGTGTGTTTCAAGGGATGTGACCACACGCGGTCTGTGGTTTTGGCACTTACCTGGCGGCGATCACAGCAGGTGGCCGCTGTAGCCATTGGTTCAAGTTCAGGAGTGGTTCGAGCAGCTTTGGAGTTTGGCCTCTGTCTGTAAGCTCTGTGAGCTGGGGCTCTTGGGAAGCTGCTGAGTGTGGGTCCCTGAGAGTCATGCTGTGTGTAATGGTGCCTGTCCTTTGTCCTCTCTTGTAGTCCTACTTGGTTGTCAGCGACAAGGCCCGAGACGCAGCTGCCGTCCTTGTGTCCAAGTAAGTGCCCTGCCGGTGCCCCTGTGGCCGTGTTGGTTGACGTATGACTGATGCATTCTGAGAAGGTTTATCTTACGTGCTCTTCTGTGTTACCTGTGTGTCTGTGTTGTCCTCAGAAAGGGTCACTGGGCCTTTTGAGCCATGCTTCTCTTGCTCAGGCCTGCTTCCACATCTGGAAGTGTACTTTTATTTCTAATAAAGCTTTTCTTTTCTGCTGTTTTTTTTTAAAAAAAAAGAGACACTGGGTTGACGGGCCTGGGGAGTCTTTCTTACTCCCCGGTGTTCTGTTGCTTTCTTTAAGGGAGCACCGGCTCTCTTTGGGGGCGGGAGACCTCTGAACCTGGTGTGGCCACCGACGGTGCTGTTAGGGGCCCCCAGGCCACCTGATAGGCCCATCAGCTGAGCGGAGCACAGGTTTAGAGCAGGTGCAGCAGTTACAGCTTTAGGGTGGTGGCAGTCAGGTGAGCCTTTGAGAGTCCCTTAGGAAATGGCTCACACTGGTTTGTGGGATCGTGAGCTTTGACTGGGTCGTTGTGGCTCAGGATAAAAAGCCCCAGTATTCTGTGTCAGCTGACAAGGGGCCGTGCCCCAAGCAGGTGAAGTTGCTTTCATCTGACTCAGGCTACGGGCTTCGTGTTGCCTAGTAACGCTGGAGACACGTGGAAGCTGAGTGCACTCGTTCTGTGAGACGTAAGAATGGGAGGAAGCAGTTTTTCTAAATCTTTTGTATGACGTGAGGTTTAAAGCATGTATGTAGGGTTTATAAATACATTAGGAAATTTGGCTGTTTTCAGTCCCTTCCACATTCGTGAAAGTCGAGAATTGGCTCAAATCTTTCGGGTGATTTGATTGGGAAATGGATAGCACCACATTCAGGGATTCAGGGTCGCCTTATAAAGATTAGGTGTCAGATCGCCATGACCTTGCACGAAGTGGGACGAGAAATGCTTAATTTGTAGGGCAGTCGGGGCTTTGGGTGAGGTATTCGTTGACCCGCAGGGCCGAGCCAGAACGTAGGAAGCTGGTTTTCGTGGTGAGGGCAACCTGCGATCCGCCTGCAGTGCTTTGCCGTGAGGGAAGCTCACCAGGCACATGCCTCTCGTGGTTTTGACAAGGACCGAAGAGCATTAGGGGTTTCTTTCTAATTGTAAGTTACATGTGTTTTGGGAAATAAAGTATAAAATACGAAATAAAACTCCCGCCTCCTTCCCTCCCCCAGAGGTGGAACTGCGTTTGCCCTTTGCCCTGCCCTGAGTGCGGCACGTTCTGTGTGCAGGCGTGCTGGTGCCAGGGACGCGGGCCTGGAGCTCTCCGTACATGTGACTGCGGTGTGAACCGGGTGTTTGTGCAGTCTCCTGTGGGACGTGTGGACTGCTGTCACAGAGTTTCACGTAAAGCTTTGTACCATTCTGGTTGATTCTTCGGAGTGGGTTCCTAGGAGTGGAATGAGCATTTTAGGGGTTTTGAGTGCAGTCACTGGGAAGGCTGAACAAGTGGAAAGTCACCTTTCCCTGTTTACCAACACTGTGCAGTCTTACAAACGTTTGCCAGGTTTAAGGTAGAAGTGTTATTACCAGAAGCACTGCCAGGTAGTGGAGTTAGCCGAGCCTGACTTTGTGGAGCTTCGTGCCCGTGGCGTCGGAGGTCAGAGGTCAGGACACCTTCAGTCTTCCTTCCCTGGTATCCTCTAGGGAGGGTGGCAAGGGCGGGTTAGATGCAGCCAGTGCTCTCGGAGTGTTCTGGAACGGGCGGGGCCGATGACTGGAAGAGCTCTTGGAGCTACTCTAGGTTAACCCACCTCATAGTTCGTCCCAGGCTCTAGGCGTGTTCTCATTCGCTTTCTCTCCCTTTTTTCCAGCGGGTCGTTACTGTACGGCCGTGGGCGTGAAGGGCGGGTGGCGTGAGGCTTCTGTCCGCAGCGGCTGTTTGTTTTCTGATAGTTCACGGAGGAGCTGCCTGTCTGCCCCAGCCTGTGCCGGGTCAGATGGCCTCCTTCCACTGCTTGCTGGAGCCACACCGGTTTCCTTTAGTAGCAGCCTTAAACGTCTGCTGTGTTGTATGTGACTCCTGACGCTACACTCACATTCAAGCGTTACTTCATAGAGATTCTTCAGTGGAAAAGTGTGCATTTATTCTTATCCATGACGTTAATTTTAAAAGCAGGTATTTCCGTCTAATAAGCAAGGTGGGGTCCATGTGGAAAAGCTGGAAATTTTGGAATATAGAAAATTAGAGCAAGCCCCACACATTTGTGTTTCTGATGCACGGTGTTCGTGCTGAATTTCTTCTGTCGTTTCCCGTGCTGTTATGACGCTGGCTGTGCACCACACTGTCTCTGAGAAGTGTCCGGCTTCGTCCCTTAACTTCACATTGCCGTTGATGACACGGCTCTGTTATAGTCCAGTTTTGGGGCACTCTGGTAGCTGGCGAGGTTTAACACTTTAGTGACCCTTGGTGACCTGACTTCTAATGCCTGTGGCTTTCTCGGGGCCTTTTCTCCACCAGCTTGCGCTTTCTCTGCATGAAGGGTACTAACCTGCAGCGATAGGGTGGGCTGTATTTCTCCCAGCCGGTTGGTGGCCTTTTACTTCCTGCTTTGGTCTCAAGTTTTAATTACATTGTCGAAACAGTAATTTTTTTCCTTTTACGTGTTACTTTCATGCTCGAAGTCTCATAAAGAGATTTCAAAAGTAGTCGTTGTGGTTTTCTACATTTTCATTGTTTAACGTACAGTTGTGAACAGCTCGGTGTAGGGCACACGGTTGCTCTCTCCCCTGACAGGGAGCGAGTTGTTCTAACACTGTTTCACTTTCCCACTGATTCACGATGCTCTTTAAACACGCACGCACGCACGCACGCACGTGCACACACACGTAGGTGCAGAGTCGGGTTTGCCCTCCACCTGTGCCGTTCGCTCTCAGGCCGCGTCACTGAGTTAGGCAGCATGTGGTGACAGTGCTGCTGAGGGTCTGGAGTGGCTGCGTGCCCGCGAGTGTTCTGCCTGGGTGCCCTTCGTCTCTCCGACAGGTCTAGCTAAGGTTTCGTAGACCATTCCTGTGGGCTTACCTTCCCGAGAGGGGCACAGTGTTCCTCTGAAATCCCGGCATGTGTCGGCTGAGCCCCAGGTGGGCAGCAGGTCATTGCTCCTACCCGGGAAGGAAGTGGAGGATTCTAAGGCTGTTGGTGTGTAGGAGGTCCTGTTTCTGTAAGTGTACGTGTTCCATCTATGGGAGGGAGATTTTTTCCATTTTTGCTTATCTATTTTTGGATCTCTGCTGTAAACATATTCCTTTTTTTAATGAGAGAAATTTTTAATGTACTATTATGTGCTTAAATCTTTGCAAGGAGCCTTAGGTTTTTACCTTAGTCTAGAAACTCACCTATGGGGTTGGTTTAGGAGTGGACATTGGCGGACGGGCCCACAGGGAACGCCCGGCTCTCGTGTCAGGTGCTGTGCTGCAGCGGAGCGGGGCTTGACCGGGAGGCCAAGGTCCCAGCCGCGTCTTCCGGATGCGCAGGCTTCTCCGGAGGGCAGGGGTGGGCGGGTGGTGAGCAGGTGTGCAGCCTGGAGCGTCTGGCGCTGTCACCAGAGTATCACCTTGGTGGGCTGCTCTGAGCCTGTGCCCTCGCCTGTCGAGGGCAGCCCCTTGTGGGCACAGGACCTGCACAAGATGTCCTGTGAGTGCTGGTGTCTCCAGCTCATGGGCTGAGGCCTCAGGGCAGACTGAAGAGCAGGTTGCTGTGGGCATGACCCGCATCCTATGGGCCCAGAATCATGGGGTTTTAAATGGGACCAAGGAAACAAGTTGGGTCCCCAAACCTGCTACTGACTCAGGTCGCCTGAGAGGCAGATGGTGAGCAAGATCCCTGGGCCTGCTCCCCAGATCTGCTGAGACAACATCTTAGGGAGGGTGCGTGAGCTTGCCTTTGTCAGCCAGCATCCTGAAGCTCGATAAAAAGTCTTGGTGACCAGTGACCTCAGGGGCTGGGGGACAGGAAGCCAGTCGTGGAACCTTTGCTCGGCTCCTATTTTCTGGCTCAGAGCCCATGCTTTACCCCGCAGGCTGAGCTTCTGGAAACTGGGCGGCCATCCTGGGGGAAGGGAGGGGCTGTGTGGGGTGGGGGGGCCCTTGCAGAGGTGCCGAGGTGCCCTGGGGGAGCCGGAATCATGCCGACCCTTACCGGGTAGCCGGCCTGGTGCAAACATGCGGAAGAAGCTGCGGGCACGTCTAGAAGTGAGGGTTTGCTTCCCTGGCGTTGGGGCCAAGCCTTCCCCAAGTGTGTTTTGTGGGGCGCTGTGGGGAGTGCGAGGCCCTTACAGTTCACAGTCCTGCGGCCTTCCTCCTGATGCCCTTGGGGGTCATCCGTGCGTCTCTCGGAGAGCCCACCCTCCCCTTGCTCAGGTGTTTCCTTCGTGTTCGTGGCTCATTTCCTGTGTTTCTGCCCCCAGAGTGCAAGGTCTGCCAGGAGGGCAGGGGCTCAGCCTGAGCGGCAGAGTCAGAGCTGGAGACACAGCCGGGGATGGGCGTGTGGGCTGGCTGGGGGCGCAGTGCCAAGGCTTTGGTGGGGCAGCTGGAGGCGGCTGCCAGCCTGGACCAGGTGCATAAGAGGGTGAGCAGCAGCTGGAACCCCCTGTCTGAGCTTTGGGGACGCAGAGATGAGTTGTCGCCTGGGCTGTGGTGCTGTGGATACCAACTGGACTTCTGCATGGGGGAAAGGCGGCCCTCGGCAGCTGCAGGGAGAGAGTGCGGGTCTCCTGTGGGCCGACCTTGTGTGTGGCTGCATCGTGTCCCCAGGAGGAGGCGTGGGTGTTGGTGGGGCTCCCCGGCAGTGGTGGGGACAGGTAAAGGCGGTCCTGTGGCGAAAGGCCTTGGGATGAGGGGGCGCTCAGGAGGGAGGAGATGGGGCAGTGGGGCTTGTGCGTGACCTCGGAGGTTGTGGTGGCTCGTCACCACTGGGGGTGGGGGGTCACGGTCTGGATGGCGTGTTCGTGTCTGAGGCTGGGGAGTGCTGGGAGACGACTGTCCTGGGAGGGGGACACAACGCGTGCCAGGGGCGGCGCATTGATGGGGGACTTGGTGGGAGGAGAGGGGTGAGTGCTCATTAGTTGGGGCCTGAGTTTAGCTGTCACCAGCCTCTTTGTTTCCTTCTGGCAGGTTTGTCACACGGCCCGATGTCAAACAGAAGAAAATGGCGGGTTTCCTGGACTGGAGCCTGTGCACTTTGGCCCGATCCTCCTTCCAGACCATTGAGGGGGTCATCGCCATGGACGGGACGCTGCAGGCCTTGGTAAACACTGCCCCAGGGGTTGGGGGAGACTCGGCTGTCAGCTTGGGAGGCTGTCCAAATAGTGGGACGAGGTCTGTGTACTCTGCAGTGGGAAGTAGTTGGAACGCAGGGAGGTGCTCAGCCCTAGTGGGGTGCTGAACAGTGTGGTTTCTCTCCTTTGGAGGGGTCTTGGGGTACCCCCCCTTGGATTGTCAGCCAGGCTTTCTGCCTCCGTGGAGATGGGTTGAGCCGGCCTCACGTCGCCACTAGGGGGCAGTGGCGCTGCGGAGCTGGGGCGGGTGGGCGGGCGGGCGGGCAGGGGCGTGCCTTCTCTGCTTTCCTGCAGCCGCTGCTGCAGACGGCGATGCTGGGAACCGGCTCTAGTGACGTCAGGCAGGCGGGCTGAAGTTGGATTTTGTGCGGGCACTCAGGTGAGGCTGTCTGTGACAGCGGGGTCAGTGAAGGCCTGGCGCCCCTCCCTGGCCGTCCTGCTTTGCTCATCAGTGCCCTTGTCCTTTCTGCTGCTGACGAGGAAAGATGTGGTTTCCATGCTGCGGAAGAGAGGGGCTGCCACGCCCTGAGGCTCTCGCAGCCTTCTGCTCCCAGGGCGGGCAGGGGGCCCTGCAGCCCTCGGGTTCGTGCCTCTGCTCCCAGAGTGCGGTGGGCCAGGCTCCGTTCCGCCCGCGTTGGGGGAGCCGGGCGCCACGGACAGTTGGAATGGAGGTTTTTGGCTGTGACTCAGCGTGATGCGTCTTTTGGGTGTTGACCCGTCACTTTCATTGGCTGGCGCAGATTCTGATGAGGCAGAGGAGGCTGCGAGGGCCATAGAAAGTGAGGCCGATGGCGATTACCCAGGGCAGCGGGCACGGGGAGGGAGAGTGTTGACAGCTGGGTGTCTGTAGCTTTCCATTCATGTTGCCCGAGTTTTCAAGAGGGATTGCCGCTCCAATGATCATGTTTCAGGACATTTGAGTAAGAAACTTAGAAAAAATAAAACTCGTTAACCTGTTGAGGGTGTATGTCTTTTATATGCTTTCTTTCATTCTGTAAATAAATGTGATATATATCATTTTTAAAGAAACTGTTGTGTAATTCACATACCACGAGTAATTCGCCCTTTCCAAGTGTGTAAATCAGTGATTATTTTGTATATGCGCAGGTTGTGTGACTGTCACCATCCACTTCCAGAATATTCTTATCACTCCTAAAGGAAACCCCACACCCATCAGCAGCCACTCCCTACTCCGTCATCCCCAGCCCTTGGCCACTACTAACCTACTTTGTCTCTGGATTTGCTTGTTCTCAACATTTTGTATAAGTGGAATCTGGCTTTTTAAATTTAATATCATGTTTTCAAGCTTCATTCTCATTTCTTTTTATGGCCGAGTAATATTCTATTTATGGGTATTCTTAGCTATTATGATTAATGCTGATGTGAACTTTGGTGTATAAATATTTGAGCATATGTTTTAAGTTCTCTTGAGTATGTAATAATAGATATTTAAAAACTTAATAATTTAAATATTTTCTGTTTCTGAGAGTTTTAAAATTTTTTATGGCCGCACACCTGTCGTGTTGATGAAACCTGAGGTGTCGGTGTGTTCAGAGGCACACGGAGCTCTGATCCCAGCTGCACGTCGCGGTGGTGCCGAGAGGATTTTACTGGGCTCTTTGGCTTAATTGCTGTGATGGGGGGTCATTTCCTGGGAGGCTGCTCAGTGCAGGGGGGCGCAGGTCATGGTGTGTGCCCATTGGGCCACTGCGGCGTGGATCTTGGGGGAGTGCGTTTTTGTTTTAGACAATTCTGGTGAAGGACGCTGATGGGGTCGAGATGATTTATTTGAAGGTTTGAGTATAAGTGGATTTAATTTTTTGCCATGAGTCACATTGAGCAGTCTTAATGGAAGGTATGACGAAATGTAGCCGGAGCCTGTCAGTCCACTGTGGCCTGCAGGGAGAAGTTAGACCCGCCCAGGCGTGGGCACTGCTCCAGGAGGGATGGGCACGTTCGGCCTCCTTGGCGTCTGTGACCTTCTTCACGTCTATGACCTTTACCCAGTCAGGAGCCTGGGTTCTTGACAGGCTCAGGGTCTCCTGCAGCCCCCTGGTCCAGAAGCCACTCTCTAGGGTCCACTGCACGTTCCCATCAAGGCAGCGGGGCTAATAGGGCGCCTTGCTCCTGCGGGGCGGGCCTGGAGCCAGCTCTGACCGTCAGAGGCTCCTGCAGACAGGGGCAGCGCTTCTGATTCTGCTGTCTTGGTGCTCCCTTAGGAGGGGGACGCTCTCTCTCTTCCTCTTCCTCCTGTGGAACAGAAAGGTTTCCCCAGAGGCAGAATGACGCCAGCCTGCGCCCCGCTTACTGGTTGGCAGGGCCCCTTCTGGCAGGGCGCAGGCGCGTGGCCGCGCCCCAGAGCTCTCCATGGGCGCCTGCCTGCTGCAGCCACCAGGGTCCCAGGAGGGAGTGAATGCAACCGCGCCAAACAGCAGCCCCTTGGGGCCCTCGGGTGCCCGGCGCACCCCTGGACAGCCTGGGCCTCTGGAGCCAGGCCCCCCTTCTTTTGCTGGAAGGGGCAACGTGCTCTGTGTTGCTACTGCCACCTGGGCAGGAGGAAGCTTGTGGGGCGCCGAGCGTCCTGGGCGGGTGAGCGGAGAGCGGGGAGCGGTTTCGCCATGAGCTCGTCAGACCTGCACAGCAGAGGCCGGCGCCCGGCGTGCCGAGACCTGCAGGTGTGTCATGCTTGAGGATTGCATCTGTTTCCTTTGATGCACTTGGCTTCGTTTTCGTCCACCTGTTCATTAGTGTGGGCTAGGCGAAACAGGTGAACTCGTGACAAGCACCATCGAAACCCGGAGCTGATTCTTTTCCCTTGAAGCATAGCCCTCTTGCAGCGATGGTTGTGAACTCTTGAGAGGGAGGGAAACAAGGGTTTGGCAAGGTCACTGTGCTGGAAGGCCCCTTTGCTCCAGCCTTTTAAAACCCCCTTTGGTTTAGCCACGCACTAAGAGTTGGGATTAATACAAATTGAGAAATTGACGGAAGGAAAACATTAAAGTTGAGTGGCGGTCGCTGGAACATGCTATACCAGCTGATGGCTGCGTGGGCTTGGCTCTTTCTGCTGGCGTGGGAGATCCTGGGGCGGGGGAGGCAGGGTTTTGCCCTGCGCATGGGCGTTTGGGTGCTGGAGCCAGTTCTTCCCGAGCGGAAGCGGCGGCGTGCTCAGTCTGTCAGCCGTTGGGGTTGCTGGGGGTGCGGCCCCCACACGGTAGAGCTTCCGCGCCTGTCTTATCACTGACAAAAATGTCCATGTTGTGGAAGGAGGAGCATGGCGAACAAGCACGTGAAAAGTGGTCTCGGTCACTCTCTGTCCCTGCGGTTGAGTCTGTGGGGTGGCCTGGTGCCCCAGGCGGAGTGCTGCCCCAGCGCCTGGACTCCCCAGCTGCGGTGCCTCTCCTCTGCCCTGGGGGCAGCTGTAGCAACAGGGGCGGGGCCCTGCTGCAGCCTGGCTGGGGAGGGAGCCATCACCTCCTCTGGCGTGGTGTCAGGGCCATTAGCACTGGGAAGGGAAGCCCCTCCATGGCCCAAGACTCTCCCCGCGGGGGCGTGGCTTGCCCATGGTTTCGTCCAAGGTTCTGTCTGGCGAGCAGACAGACTGTCCGGCCGGGGTTCTCGGTCATAGCGCTTGCTGTGGGTGAAGGGCCGTGTGGCAAGAACTACTTGAACATGTGTTTTCAGAGCTCCTGTCGCATTCGGCGAAATGAGAGGTTCTGTCAGTGTTTTCGTTGGTGTAAATAAAGATGATGAGCAGCCAGCTGACACTATTTTAATTTCCAGTAAACTCAGCATTTTACACAGGGCCGGCAGCATGGGGGTGGCATGAGTCATGTTGAAACCTGTGTGCCTTGTGGCACGCCTTCAATTCCACTGGCAGGTCTGGTCTGTACACCTGCTGTGTGATGAGGTGATATGTCCTGCTGGACAGGTGCGTGCTCGCAGGTAGCCCGGCTGGCCCACGCTTGGAGGGCAAGGGGACTCGCGGGTCATAGGCTGTCCTTGCCTCTCAGATGCAGGAGCACATCTGTGCACCTGCTGGCGTGGGGCCCATGTCCCCAGTCAGGGCTGGACTGGCCTGTGGCCTCCCCTGCAGGCTGCACTCCCCTCACCCAAGGCTGCCCTCACCCCTCCCTCTGAGACAGGTGTCCCTCAGGCAGGACACCCTCTGAGACGGGTGTCCCTCAGGCTCTGTGTGTGGCAGCCGACATCCCCCCTCCCCTCTGATTCGTCTTGACCTTTGGTTCCTGTTCTCTTTCCTTGGATGTGCCACGTGTCCGAAGTACGTGCGGTGTCGCTTCTGCCTCCTTCCCCAGCCCGTGTAACAAACGAGGATGCTGGGCCCCGTGGAGGAGGCTCTGAGGTGTGGCCTGGCCTGGCCCTCCTCTCTTAGTTTGGTGATCACCTAGTTTGTCTGCCCCCTTGGTGGTCTGCCCTCCACCTGTCCCAGATCCCTTGGCCTAGAGCGCTGCTCCCTCCAGATGAGAGCCGGACCAGTCCCTGGGTTCCTGAGCTGCAGCTGTGCTGTGTCCTTCAGTGGTACCACTCGAGATAGCTGGGTGTTAAAAGGGACCCAGGAACAGGGCACAGAGCAAGCGTTGCGCTCCTTTGTGTGCCCTGGGTCCTGGCAGTGTGCACGCCACTGCACATGTCACCAGGACAGGATGAGCAGCAGAGCGTGAGACAGCAGTGGCGGAGCTTGGATGCAGGCTCTTGGTGGGCTCCGGGCGGGCGGTTCCTTGCCATGGTCGGTCCTGCTCAGGCCGCCGCCCTGTCGGAGCCCATTGCTGAGCTCAGCTCTGTGCCCACCTAGTCCCCGGGCGAGGCGCGTCTGCTCTCCCCTCTTCCTTCCAGTGTCTCCACTGGGCTCACACGTAGTGGGAGGGGAGCACCTTCTTTTGGGCTGAGTGTGACCCCTCCCTTCTTGCAGAGAAGCACAGGCCCCTTCTGAGCCCAGGGTTTGGGGGGTTGATGTGTAACCAGGGACACCTCGATGTCACTGGCAGCTCGGCTTGTGACTCCTGCACGGGCTGTTTAGAGCACGTGAAAGTGCTGGCGAATGGTAAGGTAGTAAGACGTCGTGATGAGCAGATAGATCAAATGACACAGGAAGTTAAGCCTGGAAACGATAAAGTCACCGCCATCAGTGTTTTCTGGGCTTTTGTTGTGCCCTGCACCTCACAGATGGGACACAGGAACTTGGGGGGCCACACCCACTCACCCTCCTGTCAGGCGTGTGTTGTAGTGGGGTAGGTGAGCAGAGACCCCGCAGGCCCCGTCTCTGGATGGGAGGGGTGTCAGGGGCTGCCACAGAGAGCGGCCATCTAACTTTTATCCCACTGCATATTTGAGAGTAACAGGATGCGCTACTCCTACTTAAGCTGAGGCAGCAGTGCCCACTGGGCTTGCCTGGACTAAGTGGGGTGCAGCTGCTCCGATTCGATGCCCTTCCTGCCCTGGCCTGGGGCGCCTGTCTGCCCAGCCCACGTCCCGCTCGTGTCCTGCCTTCTGTTGACTGCCAGTCGGGCAGGCCAGACCTCTGCCGTCCAGCGAGAGCTGGCCGCAGGGCAGCTTCTTCTGAGGTGAAGGGTTTTTGACATCCCTTCCCCCATGATTAGGTGTCTCAGGGCACACTGCACCACGTACCCCGTGGAGGTGTAAGGGTGTTCTGGTGCTTTCTGGCTCTCCCCCAAACTCAGAGCCTGAGGGAGCAGCCCAGTGTTTCTGCTCAGTGGGTGTGTGTTCTGTGAATGGCCAACTTAGGTCTAAAGTGTGTGAAGTTGGATTTGAATTTGCGTGGGGTAAAGTAACTATAGTTCTATCTTTCTCATAAGTTAAATCTAGGGAAGCGTTCATAAAGTTAAAATGTTTTTGGACAAATAAAAGGAATACCTCTATGTTTACTTAGGAAGTATTTCTGATCTCTGCTGTTCATTCGCATTTCTCAAAGTGGCTCAGTGAAGTGGGCTCTGTCATCTCCGGTGTCACACACCCAGGAAGCTGAGGTCCAGTGAAGGCCGCTTCCTGCCTGGTCACTCAGGCGGCGTGGCGTCCGCGTCTCTGCAGCTGAGCCGTTCCCAGTGTTGCCCTGGCACCATGTCGGTTCTGAGGTTCGGCGGATGGAGTGTGGGGAGCTCCCTCTCCTTTTAGAAAACCTCGAGTTCTTCACGTGACTCAAAGCCGAAGCAGTCCAGAGGTCTGTGCTGACGTCGCCGGCCCGCGCCCTGCTCCCATCAGCACCGCCTCTCTCCTCAGAGGCACTCGCTGCTTCTGAGGGTGACCGCTGTGTCCCCGTGTGACGTGAGCCCCGCCTGGCCCCGTCTTCCCGTCTTCATGCACCGGCTTTGTCTGTGGGTTGGTTGGCTTCGCGTCCGGGTCGGCAACACCGGCACGGTTCTCAGGTGCCGTCCCAGTTGGCTGCCTTTGGAGCAGTGGAGTGTCTTACCACGTACAGACACTGTTCTCTTGTTGGATGCTGAGCGTTTAGAAGAAAAGCTCTGGAAGACGTAATGGATTGTTTTGATAATTTGCTTTTAATTTGTAAATGAATTTGTAATATTTTAATAGAACCTCTTTTTTGTTTGTTTTTTAGGCACAAATATTTAAACACGGAAAGCGTGAAGACTGTTTACCCTATGGTAAGGTTTATTTGTAAGATGGTGTGTTCTGTTTGTCCGTGTTTGATCGAGTGTGTCCCTGTCCTATTTTATTCACAGGTGCAGAAGTTTGTAACTTGCTACGTTCAGACACTTGCATAGTTCTTTTTTCTTGTTGTTTTGTATGTGTTTGTGTATTTTGATGATCCGACTTTTAGGCCTCGTGTAGAAGGAAGGTCTGGGTTCCTGACGCCAACACCGAGCCTGGGTTCTGGGCACGTGGCGATCTAGACGCAGCTTGGAGTCTTGGCCTTGCTTCCTGGGGCCCCGGTCACAGCTCTGTTCTCCCCGTGGCTATGGCCACACCTTGTGCCCTTTTACCTCATTCTTTTAATTTAAGACTAAATCTCAGTTTATAAAAATAAGTCCAGCGATTCTTGCTGCAGAGAGGTTTACTCCTTGGACTAAGAGGAATTTCTGTGTGTTAGGTATGTGAATCAGATTCGAGTAGCAGTTCAAATAGCAGAGTATTTTTTGAAAAAGCTTTTATTGTGAAAATTTCAGACGCATATAAAGGAAGAGCACGGTACAGGGAGCCCCCATTTCTGTCACAGGCCTCAGATAGGTAGTCCCACTCCCACGTTCGCCCCGCGCACCACACCCAGACGCCTGCCTGCCGCCCGCCCCTGTGGCAGGTCTCTGAAAGAGAGGGACTCTCCAGAGACACAACTTAATATCATTGTCACACCTGCGAAGGTGGGTGGTGATCGCTGCCCTTTCACGCGGTGACCGCGGGGTCCCGTGCAGGGAGCGCGGGTCTGTTTGGCTTTACCAGCAGTGCGTGTTCCCGGGGAGCCACAGCGCTGTTTGAGCCCTTCAGGAAATTAGATGCTATTGCAACTTGTCTTGAAACTCCGCCCTCCTTGCCTCTCCTGTGAAACTCTGTTCTGTGTACTGCTGGCCTCGGCGTCCCCGACGCCCCCCTCATGTCCCCAAATGGCCTTGGCAGTGTTTCCATGCCAGTGGGGCCCCTCCTGCCCGGTGGGTGCCATGTGCAGCTCTCTCTGCTCTGGCAGCTGTTGTCACCCCTGCACGGTGCCATGCGGGTCCCCTGTAAACCGTCCACAAAACCCCACAAACACCCAGATCCGTTGCACGGTCTCGTGCCATCTGCGGTGTGTCGTTTTACCCAGCGGCCTCCACTGAGACTGGCTTCTACCACTCTGGGGCTCCTCTGTGCCCCGCCTCTGTTTGGGGCTTCACAGGAAGGAGGCTGAGCAGGTTCGGCTCTGGCTGCACTTGGTAAATGACATGGGATGAGGGGTCTTCTTGCGACAGGGCTGGGGCTTGGTGTCAGGGCACCACACTAGCTGCGGTGGGGGCTCGTGGAATGGACCGTGGCCTTGATGCGGTAGATGTCAGACACAGCTGGCCCTCCCAGCAGACTGAGCCAGTGTGTTCTTGCCTGCAGCTGCCCCTGTTCTCCAGTGCCTGGACGGCTGCAAGCTCCCTGACAGCAGCCAGACCCTGCTCCGGAAACTCGGGGTGAAGCTCGTGCAGCGGCTGGGCCTGACCTTCCTGAAGCCCAGGGTGGCGAAGTGGAGGTTGGTGGACCACGCGTGACCGCGGGTGGCCTGAGCGTCTGTTGGCGAGGCTGAAATGTGGTGACCGCCCGTGTTTCGGGTGGCCGTGAAAAGTAGGCTGACAGATAAAGAGTGTCCACGCGCTCACTCCTTAGTCTCGAGTGTTTCTGATTTTGAAAGGAGCGGTTTCCTAGAGTTTTCTCCTGGCCCTGCCATCTCCCCGTCAGAGCAGCTGAGGTGAAGTGGTGGCGAGAAGTGTCGGTTTCGCACTTGATGCGACGTTCGGGCGCGATGCAGCTCTGCTGCCTGCGGCTGTGGGAAAAGCTCCCTGTCGATGAATCAGTCTGAGTCAGAAGCTTCTTGCAAAGAGATCTAGCTTATTCCTTAAGTTTGCCTGTCGATGGACGCAGTGCCTGGAGGAGGCCTGTGATGATAGATTGCTTCTGAACCACTGGCTCTCACAGAAATAGACTTTTCTACTTTGTACTGTTTTTTTTTTTTTTTAACAGCCTTTAGATTTGTTGGGGAGGAATTATTTGACTAAGTTTAGCTTCTTAGCCTTTGGCTTCCAATTTTAGCAAATTCCAAAAAAAGTGTGCTTTGTTTTACTGAAATACCTTTTGGGTGTTCAGCGCACAGCTTGTTCTGTAAGAAGTTGTTTATGAGGCTAAATGTTAGTGGTTAGTTTCTAAAACACTGTAGGAAGTTAACATTCAGTACTGGATTAGGGTACTCCAGAGAGAACCAGTAGGGTGCCCACGCGTGTGTGAAGACTTACTGGGTGGCAGCTCGAGACCCGCAGGGGAGGGGTGAGCTGGAGGCCCCGCAGAGCAGGAGATGTGCTTTCAGTGGAAAGCCGTCTGGCGCGGCCCTGTGAGGTGTCTGTCTGAGGGCTGCTGACAGTCTCCCCTTCGATTAGCTCTGCGCTGCTCTGATTCGGATGCCAACTCCAGCGTGTGTGTGCTCTCCCGCACCAGCAATGCTGTAGCACCCGCTGGGGGTCCTGTTTACTTCCGTTCTGGTGCTCTCCCTGGAGACCGTGCAGACCCCACAGGGTAAGGGCTCAGTCCACGAGACTGCCCTACTTTTCGTGCCAGTCAGAAGTCCAGGTGGTCACCTGTGGTTCTGACCACTGTGGAGACCAGAGATGCCCACGATCCCTCCTTGAAGTCCATTAATTTGCTCCAGCGCTCACAAAACTTGGGGAGATGTTTACTCACCAGATTACGGGTCTGTTATGAAGAGATTTAACTCCGGAACAGCCAGGTGGAAGAGGTGCACAGGTCAAGGTCTGGAGAGGGGGCGGGGAGCCCCCATCCCCTCGCTGGGCACCACCCTCCCAGCACCCTTGTTCACCATCCCAGAAGCTCCCTGAGTCCTATCCTTTTGGGTGTGTTTGCAGGCTTCATTACATAGACCGGAGTGATTAAATCACTGGCCATTGGAAGTTTATTTAGCCTCCAGCCCTAGCTCCTCCCTGGAGCCTGGGGGTGGGACTGGAAGTTTCAAACCCCAGGTCACGTGGTTCATTCCCCGGGCTACCAGCCCCCATTCTTAGGGGCTTTCCAAAAGCCACCTCGTTAACATGGCAAAGGTGGCTTAATCCAAAGGGGACCAGGACCCAGCCTGAGTCTTATAAATCGCAACATCACAGTTGTGGAACAGTATCCCAAGATTCCTCAGCTTAAAGCATTTTTAGTGTCACCGTTTCTGTGGGTTTGGAATCTGGGTGTGGCTTAGCTGGGGATCTCAGGTCTCAGCCGGCTGCTGCCATCTCGGGAGGCCCCGCCCAGGGAGCACTCAGTTCCTAGGGCTGTCTGCTGGAGGCCACCCACAGTTTCTTGCCCCAGGGTTGTGCGATGGGGGCAAGGAAGTCCTGGCCTTTTCTTGGCTCATCTCAGAGCCTCGTCCCTACAGAAGCAAGTCACTGGGTCTGGCTGCATCTAGGGGAGGAGATTATAGGAGATGGGCCACCTGGGGAACTACCTGCCACTGTCCTCTCACGGAGTTGGACACTGCTGTCCAGAGAGAGAGTGACTCGTTCAAGGTCACAGTCAAGTGTCCGAGCCGGTGCTCGAGTCCTGGGTTCGGAGTCGACCTCATGCCGTCTCACCCCCTTCACTCAGCTCAGCTTGGTCACCTCTGAGCTCCAGGCCTGTCCTGGCCACCCTCGAGTCAGGCCCATGTGTGCCTGACCCGGCGCAGCACGCGTCCTGCCCACCCTCCGGAAGGAAGGGCCCTGGCCCAAGTACCTGGTGCCCGTCCCCTCATCAGCCCTGTCGCAGCCCTCTGGGTAGGACGTCATTTTACAGTGGGGACGCTGAGGCACCGGGAGGTTCAGGAGTGGTGTGGAACCGTGGCTGAGCGGGCCTGCGCCCCGGGAGGCCGCACTGGTGGCCTCTACTTGGGTCGGGGGAGGGCTGCAGTTGGTGCCCATGAGTGACTCGGGAGGCAGTCTGAGGGCGCTGGCGGTGGATTAGCGGGGGCGTCTGAGGTGATGGTGGCTCCGACTCGGGCCAGGAGGCACAGTGCAAGGGAAGGGTGCTGCCGCTGTGACAGGCCGAGTCCCGTGGCGGTTTGCGTGCGCCTGCTGCTTCTGTCAGGGGCACTTCCTGCCCTGCCTCTCCGCAGCGGGGCCCTGACATTGCGTGTGGTGTCCGAGCAGCCCGGAGTCTGGGTCCTGACTCTGGCTGTTGCCGTTCCTTGGCGCTCCGCTGACGACAGTGAGTGCTCGGTGTTCTCCCTGTCCAGCACGGCTCGGTAAGCACGTGGAATCCTCGGCACCCTTTGAGGTTCCAAGTGACACTCGGTTCATTTCGGTCATGAAGATCATTTGCCTGCTAGGCTGTGACTGCAGGTCTGAGGTCACGTGTGGTCTGTGCAGGTACCAGCGTGGCTGCCGCTCCTTAGTGGCTAACCTGCAGCTCTGCACCCCGATTTGGAGAGAGCCCAGGATACAGTTAGAGATGCCAGACAACGAGGAGGACTATGAGGTCCCCGAGGAGGTGGAGAGCGTGATAGGTGCGTGGCCCTCCCTCGGGGCGTCTCGCGGGGTGGGAGGGGCTCTGGCTGCAGCCGGTGCCTCTGAGGTGTGTGTGCCGCAGAGCCCTCTTCTCTCTGCCGGTGTCACGTGGCATCACACAGCCTGCCTCGCTGTTGAGTGAGCACGTGGCCACTGGTCAGCAGGCCCGTGTCCTCCTGACATGGGCATTCACGCCCATGGCCGTTGGAGCCTGGACTCCGAGAGTCCCCGCTGTTTGCCCTCCGTCCCCACCCCTCCCTGCGCACCTCAGCGCCCAGTGCACTGCCCTCCCCCACGCCTCCCCTGGTGCTAGGCCCCCACCCCCCGCCGCACTCGCACCCGAGGGGGCATGGTGTCTCCTGCGGCACCTGCCGTAGGCCCTGCAGCACCCCACCTGCTCCCTGCCCCAGGCCCCACCTGCAAGGCTCCGCGTTCAGCTGCTCCAGCCTCCTGCAGTGAAGGGCAGCATCTGGCCTGCTCCGGTGGTCACTCCCTGCTCACAGCAGATGTCGTGTCTGCATCTGCTGCCCCACGCCCCTGGGCCCCCACCTGCACTGTCGCAGAGAACGCCCAGGCCAGCCTGGGCTCCAGTCCCCACTTTGTGTCAGGCCTCCTGGGCTGCCTGGTGCCCATCAGGGTTTCCACTACTGGGCTCGCATGGCCCTTCCTGGAGCCCGCTGACACCTCTACCCTCCCTTGGGCCTGTGTGTGGCTTTTCCCATAGTCTGGCCTGTCACTAAGACCCTGTCCCCAGTAGAGCACCTCTGTGTCCTCTTTGGGGAGGACACTGTGGACTCAGGCCTTCCTACCTGGCGCTTTCTACCCGTGACTGCTCTGGTGGGTGGATTTGCTTCTTGGGAACAATGGCAAAAGTTGGCTTTAAATCATGATTTAAAAACGAAGTGTCGTGGAACTCTCCTGAGTGACCTGCAGGGCGGGTCGCCTAGGTGCTGGGAAGTGAAGCAGTGACTGTAGGCGCTGACGGACCTGCCCCTGTGTTCTTCCAGAGCAGCTGCTGGTCGGGCTGAAGGACAAGGACACGATCGTGCGGTGGTCAGCGGCCAAAGGGTAGGTGCCCGCCATCACGCTGAGTGAGAGTCTGGGTCTGGGGGCTGACGGCCTACGATCGAGACACCGTGGGCTGCCGAGCGTTTCACTCGCTCAGAGTGTTACGGGGGCCGAGTGCTGCCGACCGCTGAGAGGGTCGTGAAACGTATGGTGAGGTTTTTCTAAGCTACGTTTGTTGCTTACGTTCTTTTAAAGCTGATCGCTGAGGTTGCCCTTCTGGCTGGAATGGGCGGGACCGTGAGCACGCCAGCTCCGCCTGGCTCCCTTCCAGTCTGCCTTTCCTTGCTGCCTGGGCCAGGACCCCACCCGGCTGGGGCTCAGTCGGGATGCGGGTCCCGCATCAAGTGGCCTGATGGGAGCCCACGGGTGGCATCCAGTGTGGAGGTGGCCCACCAGGCAAGAGGGTCTGGAGGGCACTGGGTGCCGGTGACGATCGGTGACTGGCTGCACATCCCTTTTGCATCAGTCCTCAGAGGCTCATAGACCTGTCATTCAGCCTCGCGGGGCTCCCTGGCGGTGCAGGTGACCTTGTGTGGAGCAGAGCACATGCTGGGCTTGCTTTGGCTTAGCTGCTCCGTCCCATTCTCTGGAGGGAAGGACGTGGCTTGGGACGGCTGCTCAGCCGGCGAGCAGCCCTGCGACGGCCCTGTGGTGCTGAGCGACGGGCGCTGCTTCTCTTTCAGGATTGGCAGGATGGCCGGACGGCTTCCCCACGAGCTGGCGGATGACGTGGTCGCGTCCGTGCTGGACTGTTTCAGGTATGTGTGGAGAGGGGAAGGAGCCCTGCCTCTGGCTGAAAGCAGTCTTTTATGTTTTATTTCCATCGAGCTATTTGTCGGAGCCCTCAGAGTTCTTTTCCCTGTTTCTGAAGTACATTTGAGAACTCTAGTTGTTTCTAGTATGCTTGTTCTATCAGTTTAGACACCATTACATTGAAAAACCTTAAGAAAAAGGTGATCCACACACACACATGATTACCCTTGGAGAAAACCTGTGTTTGGGAGTGAAACCTAGGGCTGCATTTCCCAGAGGCCGTCCTGTGCCAGTGGAATGTCCTGCGGAGCCACCTGTGGCTGTTGACACCTTAAAAAGAGGCTAGTGTGGCTGAGGTCTGAATTCCAGCTTTTACTTAATTTTGCTGGATTTAAATTTAAACAGCCACATGTGGTAGGGTCTGAGAAGCCTGGGCGGCAGACAGCCCGCCCGTGGCGTGGGTGTGGGCTGAGATGTGCCGGCCGGACTTTGGGGATGAGCTGCGGCCTGCAGGTCAGGAGAGGGCGGAGCCCCGGCAGCACAGGCTCCCCAGGCGTGCGCTGTCAGCGGCAGGCCCCGTGACCCATCTCCCCAGCTCTTCACTGTGCTCGTCTCCTGGTTTCAGAAGCAGGTGTTTCTGAGAGTAAGTGCTGTTTGCCAGGCTGCTGACCGCGCTTCTGCCCTCATGAGCCGTTGCTTTCTTTAGTGTTGCCACTGCATGTGGAAAACGTGGTGTCGGCATGCCTGGGCGCTCAGGGTGCGTGTTAGTCCCCGAGGCAGCTCTGCGGGCCCCCCCCAGCACGGGCTCCTCCTAGCAGGTTGCTCCCTGCACTCCGCCTTGAACCTGCCCCGAGTGCAGGAAGCGCTGTCGCTGTGGGGCACACTGCGGGGTCCACGGGTGCCCCTGTGTGCTTCCCTGTCTGCGTGACAATTCTGCTGGCTTGTCGCAGGGTGGCGTCCTGCGTTTCTTTTCTTGCGTGATGGTGATGGGTGTGCTGATGACGCTGGGACATGCTGGGAGCAGAGGTGGCCACTGAGTGGTGGCCGTTGGTGTGGCTGTGGTGGAGCGTCCTGCTCTCGGGGGACGGCAGCGCTTTGAGTGGATTCTGGGAAGGGCTGAGACCCTGGTGTCCTGCACCCTTTCCTCCCAGCCCCTCTCATGGGGGCTGGCTGTCTGCTTCTGGCACTTTCTGTTCTCCTGTCTGCTTGTGCCCTCTGGCGCTGTGATGCTGTCTTTTTAACCAGCTCTTTCGCACGGGCACTGGCTCTCCCAGCGGCGTGGCCTTCCCTCGCGTCCCTGGCCGGAAGCCCTGCCCTGCCGTGTCTCAGGAGAACGCACTGGACGCCTTTTGTCCTGAAACCTGCTCCTCTGGGCAGGTGCGTGGCCCCTGGTCCAGCTTGCACCTCAGTCTTGTTCCTCTCGTCCTCAGTTCTATCGGCTTAGACGCTTCCTCGCCTTCGCTGTGTCGTTTTCCTGACCTCTGGTTTCTGTAGCTAGGTCGTGGGGGTGGGAGTGTTCTTCTTGCTCTTGATTCCCAGGCTGGCAGCCCAGAGCAGCAAGCGGGATATTGCAGGACGCTGTGTCTGCGTGGGCCGCATGAACTCTGCCCCTTGCTCTTGTCTCCACCCCTGTGAGCCCTGGGCCCTTCCGGCACTGTCCTGGGCCCAGGTCTGGGGCAAGACCTTGCCCTCAGCCCCTTGGCTGAGTGCTGGCAACCCCCAGCTCAGCTTATACCGCGAGGTCGATGGCCGTGTCTTGGGTGTCTACGTCCACATCTGCTGTGTAGGTTCAGCCTCGGGGCATGAGTGGGGCTGAGGTACATCTGCATGCCGGGCGCCCTGCAGAGGGGGCGCGTTTTCCGGAGTCCCACAGAGGCCCTCTGTCTGCTGGGAGCGGACAGAGCAGGGGCCAGCGGTGCAGGCAAGACACGCTGGTTCGCCTCGCTGGCTGTAAAACGCGCTCAGGCCACAGCCGATGGCAGGTGACGCTGCTTTTCCACAGCTGTAGGCCAGCGACTCTGCACACGCGTCGAGTATGGAAACAGGAGTCTGCACAGCTGGCGATTGTGTGGTGATGGCTGAGTCACCTTAGTGCTGATCTTTTATCAGGTTCTTTCAAATGTTACTGAATTTTTAGGAAAAGCCTGCAGCATCTCTCTCCAATTAAAATCCTAAAGTACGCAAAGTGCCAGTATTAAATCTTAAAATCATTCATATAGCATTTGGGACAGACATTTAATAAAATATCTGTAACTTAAAAAAACAAGTATAGTTGGAATTATGTCGCAAATCGATGGTGAAGTCCAAGGGCAGCTTCTGTGTCTGTGTCGGTCACTCTGTCTCTGGAGGGCTGGGGCAGGGCCTGGCGCACAGAGGCACTTGCCAGGTGTCTATTGAGTGGACGATAAGCCTAGACTCTCTCCTAACTGAGTGTTCTCGTGCTTGTTGCTGGCCAGTAGTACAATTTGGTTGATTGTCTTAAAACTTTTTGCCATAAAATTAATTTAAGGCGGAGGTTTATAGTTTTTTTGCTTGTTGGTGAAGTATAGTTCTGTGTTTACACAGGCAGCAAAGTGTGGAAAGTCTCGACAACCTTCATCAATCTGAGAAATAGTTAAGCTCACGAATTAAGTGCCAGAGTTGCCCCTTTAAACAAGAGCGCTTCTAAGCCATTCCAGGAAAATTTTTATTAAACATAAAAATTTACGTTTGACTTGGTTAACTGGCATTAGAATTGTTTATCAAAAGTCTCTATTTCATAAGTGCAGAAACATCTCAATTTCAGTTGGAGCCGGCTGTGGGCAGCTGGGGACGGCCTCCCGTACCCTTGTGCCGCACGCCTCCAGGCATTGGAGGGAGCATGGTGTTGTGAGCCCCTGGCTTCTCGGTGGCTCGGCACATTGGTGGGGGGAGTCGTGGTGTGCAGTTGCCAGGGGGGCGCCTGGCTGTGGGGGCCCGTGGAGGACCCAGGTCCGGCTGTGCATGGCTGTGGGCTGTGCACACTCTCGGTGGCAGCATGCAGGCTGACCAGGCCTCACGCATGGAGAGCTGCCGGGGGGACCAATCCGGCCAGTTATCTTTAACCGAATTGAGTCTTGCCTTCCTTAGCCAGCGAGTCTTTTCAGATCGGGGGCAGCTTTCAGGGAGGCTTGTGGGCGTAGACTGTGCAGACTGGGCCTTGCAGGGGAGCCCCTGGTCTCAGGTACCCACCCATGTGCTCTCAGTTTTCAGGAGACGGACAACGCCTGGCATGGGGGGTGTCTGGCGCTGGCAGAACTGGGCAGAAGAGGCTTGCTGCTCCCTTCCCGGCTGTCGGATGGTGAGTAGCGCGGCTCACTTGCTCTGCACTGTGAGGACGGCCTGCAGCCGGAGGGGCGCCTCGCCTCGCTTGTGTCCCTGGGGTGGCCTGCCGTGGGCACATGCCCTGTCTATACCCTTGCTGGCTGACCGAGTGTCTCGGCCCCCTCCTCACACCCCCTCCTGCGTCCTGGTCGCTGCTTCTCCCTGCAGCAGGTATCAGTGCTGCAGATGCACCGCACGTCCGGGTCTGGGGCCTTGCTCCGCTGTGACGTCGGAGATGCTGTTGTCCCCGGAACCAGTGTTCACCCTTGCCACTGTGCGCGTCACCTGGAGTGATGCCATCGTCCGTTGGGACAAGTCTCACCCTGTGAGAGTGGGCTGGAGGGTCTCAGGAAGCTTGGCAGTGGGCCTGAGCAAGGGGGCTGGGCACTGTGTGGCCGGCGCCAAGGGATCGGCGAGCCCCAGGCTTGTATATTATATCCCAGCTGGTGAGCCTGGCCACGCGGGGGTGGACTGTGGGGCTGCGGCCACGTGAAGCCCTGTCTCTGGTTGGTGGGGACCATCCCGAGATGTGGCTGCCTGTGCCTCTGGATGGAAGGAAAGGGTACCTGTGAACGTGGAGGGGCCCAGCCGGGACTGCGCCCCACAGACCCACATGCCCTGCGAGGGGACTTCTGCCCAGAGCGAGGACGCCGCACACAGACAGGTCAGCAGTGCCCCAGCCGCGGCCGGCGAAGCGCTGGCCGTGCCCTTGGCATCGCGGGGCACCGGAGAGCCGCAGCCCTCGCAGTTTCTCTTTCCTCTTTCCGCTGACTCTTTTCTCTCTGCTTATTTCTGTAGCAGCTCTCTTGAGCTATAATTTCTACACCACCAAGTTCACCAGTTTAGAGTGCGTAGTTCACTGATTCATAGTGTCTCAGTTGTGCAGCCCTCATCACAACTAATTCCAGAACATTTTCCTTGTCCCACAAAGAGACCCCGTGCTCGGGAGCAGTCCCTCCGCATGCCAGACCTGCAGCTCGCCCAGCCCCGGGCGCCCACCGGTCTGCCGACTCTCTGGGTCTGCTGCTTCTGGGCGTTTCATAAGAACAGAACCCACAGCAGCGCACTCGTGCGCCGGGCTTCTCTCGCTCGGCGTGCCGTTCGCGTGTTCGTCCGTGTCGCGGCGTGCAGCAGTGGGACTTCGCTTCCTCTTACGCTGAGCGGTGCTCCGCCCGGGCCTGTGCCGCGACCGCCAGTCCCTTTGCCGGCTGGTGGGCATCTTGGCTCCTGTGAGTGGAGCTGCCATGAGCGTCTGCGGAAGGTTTCCGTGTGGACGTGGTTTGGTTCTCGGGTGCGGACCTGGGAGTGTACTGCGGGGCCGCACGGTAACCGACCGTGAGGAGTCACAGTTCTCGTCTGAAACACTCCCACCAGCAGTGTCTGAGTCTTCCCGTTTCTGCACGTTCTCTCCTGTGCCTCCGTTTTCCTGATTGCAGCCGTCCTGGCAGGTGTGACGTGGCATCTCACCGTGGTTCTGGCTTGCATCGCGCTGTGACGGGTGATGTTGAGCATCTCTTCACGTGCTGCTGTCTGTTTGGTTGTCTTCATTGAAGAAATGTCTGTCCAGTCCTTGGCTCACTTGAAAAATCGGGTATTTGCTTTTTTATTTTTGTAAGAGTTCTTTATGGATTCTGGTTATAAGTCTTATCAGATATGTGACTTACAGATATTTCCTCCCATTCCGTAGCATCTCTTCACTTTCTTGCTGGTGCCCTTTGGCGTACCAGAGTTTGACATTTTCATCAGGCCTAGCTCTTCTGTCTTTTCGTCCATTGCTCGTGCTTCCGGTGTCAAATCTGAGAAATTGCCTGTCCCAAGGGCATGGAGAATTACTCCTGTGGTTTTATTTAATCTTTTATTCCCTCCTAAGTGACTTCCTTATGGAAATAGGTGCATGTGAGAGCGTGTGAGTGTGGTGTGCAAGTGTGACATGGATTGAGCTGAAGTCCACACCTGGTGGTGCTGACTACAGTTTAGCTCGGAGGAGACTAGCACCTTCTCTTTGCTTCTCGTGTCTGAGACTGGCTGGCGTGTGTGGCCCATCACACGTACGATGTCGGCAGTGCCCGCTAGTCACAGACAGGCAGAGTGAGAGTATGTGAGTGTGGGTGCAATAAATGAGAAGTGTCAAGCTGTTGCCCAAAAACAGTGGGACACGATGCAGGACGATCTTCGCTCCTGCCTGGCAGTGCCCCTTCTGTGCGTGGTGGGCGTGTGGAGCAGCTGAGCTGCTTCTTGCTCGGGGGCGGGAGGGGGTGGAGGGGGAGGGACACCGGCATGGCTGGCGCGCTCCCTCCTTGGCAGAGCTGCCATGGGACCTGGGGTCAGCCTGCTCCTCTGGGGGGTGCCTGCGTGTGGCCTAGGCCCTCCCATTTGCAGAGTGCTGACCTCTCCTAACCGTGTCAGTCCCCACAGGCCCCATGTACCTTGGTTCCCAAGGGAACAACCGGGCCTTGGGAGGGGTCGTGCTGTCCGGTGCTCCCGTCGGGCCCTGGCACGCTCCCATTCCAATGTGTGTGTGCAGCTTTGTGTACTGCATGTTCCTGGCTGTGTGGACGGGAGACCATCACAAGATGCTTCGGCCTCGCACGTGGCGTGATCTGTTTCTGTGGTTAAAATGTTTAGCTTTGTGAGCAAATGCTGCACGCTTCATTTCATGCCCGCCCTTTGTTCCGTTCCTGTGGGGCGTGGCTTTTGGTCCAAAGTTAAAACCAGTGATAGGGAATAGTTTGCTCTGGGCCATTGGTAGGACTATTTAGAAAGGCCGTTGTCAGCATTTAAAAAATTTCAATGTTAATTCAAGGGTCCTTTTAAAATTTTTTTTGCTTCATTGAGGTAGAATTCACCTCACATACAATTCACCTATTTAAAGTCTATAGTTCAATGGTTTTGGCATATTTCACAATTAATTTTTAAAAAACACTGTAGAATATATAACAAATTTGCCATAGTGACTATTTGTAAGTGTACGATTCAGTGGCATTAATTAGAGTTATGATGTCATGCAACCATTATCACTGTTTCCAAGACTTTTCATCATCCCAAAGGGAAACCGTCCCCATTGAAGGCCAGCTCCCCACTCCTCCCCCGGCCCCCAGGAACTAATCTGTGTGCCCCTAGGCATTCACCTGCTCTAGGACCTCAGGTGAGTGGGATCGTACAGTGTTTGTCCTTTCGTGTCTGACTGTGCTTGGCGTGAAGTCTTGGGGGTTAATTCCTGTTGCTGCAGGGGTCAGAACGTCTCGTATGGCGGAGCGGCATTGCATTGTGTGGATGCTCCGCGTTTCACTGTCTGCTCATCTGCTGCGGGCACTTGTGACCATTGTGAGCAGGGCTGCTGTGAACACCGGTTCACGCGTGTCTGTCTGAGTCCTTGTCTTCGTTTCTTTTGGGGATGTACCTAGGAGTGGAATTGCTGGGTCACATGGTGACGCTAAATTTAATGTTCCGTGGGTTTACCATGTTTTGTGCGTGAAGGTTAGAAGCTCTCAGCTCTCATGTCGGGTCATGTGTGACTGTGGAAAGGCAGGGTGGGTGACACATCAGCACGGCTGGGGTTTTGTGATGGGACCCAGGACTCCTTTGTGCCTTGAGTGGATGCAGAGGGCCGCTGGTCACTGGCCGTGCATGCTGCACTGGCCTGGAAGAGCCGCAGACCGGCCCCGTGGGCTCTGGGGCCAGCACGTCTTTGGCGGTGAGGCAGGGCCTTTGCGGTTGGGAACTGTGGTCCTCATCACGTAAAGTGATGCCCGCCTGACCGTCGGGCGGGCCTTGAAGCCTTTATGTCCTCGGAGCCTTCGGACCTGTGTTCTTGCGTGTGTCAGCGTGAGGCCGGATCACGTCCGTGGGTGTGGCATTGGGTCCTGGGCCTGGAACGCGGCCTTCAGCGAGCGGCCCCCTGCTGCTGGCCTGCAGTAGGCAGGGCGTCCTGCTTTCGTGTCCTTTCAGACAGACAGAAGGGCCAGGCATGATCGGGTGTTGGGCAGGGGCTGTAGGGTGGGGATCGTAACTATTACCTTTGGATGGTGGCACCTGAGGTGCCCTCAGGCCTGGTCTGTGGGGCTCACCAGGCGCTTGGATGCTTTGGGGCAGCCTGTAGCGGTGGCCTCCTGGGTGACCAGCTCTACATCCCTTCTTGAGGCGACATTGGTGGTTTTATGTAAAGTTACTGTGTTTGTCGTGAGGCATGCTGTTTGCTCTCCTGAATACCGTCATTTTAAAATAAAGCTGTCACATCACTCTTAACTGTGCATGTGCAGTGGGGCCCAGGCGTCACCATGGTTTCACACCCACCGTGGTACTTGTGAAAGTGTTTAGACCTTCTTCCTCGTGGGAATTTCTCCCCCTCCTGTCTTCTTGGTCCCGTGTCTCCGTTCACTGCTCCGAGTTTCCCCTCGTGTTTGTACCTGTGGTAGACCTTCAGCAAGAGGCTGTCGGAACGGACGGTCACGGTCACATTCCCTACAGCTGTGAGGTGCCAAGTACTTAAATTTTTTTCTACTTTGAGTTTTCAGAGACCTACTTATTGGGACAAAGTTAATCAGAACGACAGCACGTAATGTTTTATTGGATGGCAGCTGTAGACAAGTTGGGTTTTTAGTCCAGGTGATTTTTTGTGAGTGGCGCTTCCACCTGGAGTGAGGCAAGCTTCTGCAGCGATGTGTTAGAGCTGAAAAGTAAAAACTTCCCTACAGACTAAGTGCTGAGAAGCCTTGTCACTTGCACAGGGAGCTGGGTGTGGCTTTTTTGCTTTAGCAGCATTTGTCCTTTGATCTCACCTGACAGCTCTGCAAGGACCTCCCACGTTCTGGTGCGGTGACTCATGCCCACCCTCCGCACCACACGCCCTTTCCGGGGGCCCTTGTTGACACCCCAGCCGGGTGTTGGATGAGAGATGCCCTGTGGGAAGTGGAGAAAGGGGACGTGGGGCTCGGGACGCCTGGCGGCCCGTTCTCAGGCAGCAGTTTTAGGGAGCGGAGGCTCTGAGAACCCGTTCTGACGTGCGCTGACACCCGAGGACCCACGGACGGTCGTTGAGGAGCCCCAGGGTGGGGCACAGGCCAGGCTTGATGGCCGCTGGTTACAGGTGCGCACACACGCCCACACGTACATACATTCACTAGTGCTCACACACGTATGCTCATGCACACATCCACACACACTGACATGTCCACACATGCTCATGCATGCTCGCATGTTCACACGCTCACATGTGCTCACATGTCCATGCTCACACACGTGCTCACAAACATGTTATTTCTCTGGTTTAATTACTTTCTCAGCCTTTTTCTCTTTTTTCACTGTTTATTACAGCAAAACATCGTGAAGTATAACAGTTCATATTTGTCTTCATTTTGTGTATTCTTAAAGTTTACCTATGAGTTTATTGGAAAATTAGCAATATATACATTATTTTAGGAAGTAGAAGATGAGGCTGAGTCAGGAAATTCACTGTAGCATGAGGAAATAGAACATATTGATGATAGCTTTGCCCATAATACATTTTCCCCAATGGAAATAAATTACTTGTATAAATAGTCTCTTGGTGTTTGAGTATTATTCAGTCATAACAGATCACAGTGTTTTTATATACAGCACGTTAATGCTAGTACTGAAAAAGTTTTCTTCTGGCATTTCCAGTAGTTGCTTCAAAACACAGTTAAAACAATTTGTTTTAGTGCTAAGATGTTTATGAGAAAAGTATTTTTAAAAGATTTCTGGTCGCTTACACCTAAGAGTTATATTTCAGTTCTATGGGTTTCGTTTGACATTTCACAAAAACAAAAACCAGTGGTTAACTCATCAGTCTGAGTATGTCATTCAAATATTTTTACAACCCAGAGTGGAAGCACCTTTTAATATTCGTGCCTTGTATTTACAAAAAATAGAGTTGCAGTTCTTTTTTACTTTTTGAGAAGAAAAGAGAAACTGCATTGTAACAATAGGCCAGATGAGAAACAAAGGTGCCGCTGAAGGTTTGGGGCGCTACAGTCTGCCTGCGAAGGTGCGGAGGCCGCAGCTGCAGGGATGGGCGGGCGGGCGCTACGATACCCGCTTTCTTTTCCGGAGCGTGAGGACTCTGGCCGTGTCGCTCGGCTTTGTCTTCTTGGCTCCCTGCTGGGCCTTGCCTGCGTCCCGTGGGCTTGTCCTCTTCTGCGCTTTTGGTCTGAGGTCACTCTGGGGCTCCGGGTTTTCTGTGGCATTGAGGGCGGGTGTGTCTCGTTGGCAGGCGGACTCCTGGGCGAAGGGCTCCCCATCGCCCACCCGGACAGTGCTCGGGCTGTAGGCTGCCAGTTGGCAGAGGGCCACGGCTGCCGTCTGCTTCTGCTCATCACTGCTGTCCACTGCCCGTGCGTCCTGGGCCTCCCCAGCGGGGGTTGTCCCCGGAACCTTGGCGCCAGGGCTGTCTCGGTCGGTCTCAGCAGGGGCTGGCCCGTCTCCGGCATCTTCTGGCTCAGTTTCGTGGGCGGCGGCGGCAGCAGGCTCTGCTTCTCGCGGTGGGCTGCGAACGGCAGGCCTTGGGGCCAGGGCGTTGCAGGGGTCCTTCACTGAGAGGTTCAGAGGTGCGTCCTGCAGCTCTGTGAAGTCTCCGTACACGGAGTCGTGGGCCACCAGCCGGGCCTCGGGCTTTGTGGACAGGTTCAGTGGGGCCGTTCTGGGGCTGTCGTCCTCTGTGCTGGCAGGCACCGCCTCGGCGCCCTCAGTGGTGCCCCTGGTCTGAGCCAGGGTGCTGTCATCTGCGGCCCCAAGGCTAGAGGAAGCAAAGAAAAGGCTTAGTGAGAGCCCTACTTAGCAGTGCTGGGGACACGCCGAGCAGCCATGGGCTCGCTCCCAGAGCATGGCCTGGGGCGCCGCGTTGGGGGTGTGGAAGGGGAACGGTCTTACCTCGTGGGAGACTGGCCTCTGTCCTGGGCCCCTGGGCGCTCCGCGCTCCTCCTGATGGGCTGGAAGGCCGTGAGGCTCTGCTCCGCTTGCGGGAGCCTCCCCAGGGTGCTCACGGTGGCTTTGTCCGAGTGGCCGCACAGCCCCGCACACGGCTGGCTTGTCTGTGTGAAGTTGGTGGGGCTCGGCCGGCCCGGCGAGCCGGTGGCCGCACTGCCCGCACGTGGGCTCATTTTGGTCCCTTCTGTGTCCCTCCGGCCGTCTTTGGAAGGGTCTTCGGCCTCGGGAGTCGGGCTCTCTTTCTCGCAGCCCATGCGCTTCCTGTGGGCGTCGGAGGGGCTCGCCTTGGACGGGCCCGAGGCTGCGTAGACTGGGGCGGCCTCTTCCAGGAGGTGAGAGCTCTGATCTCGGGAAAGGCTGGCCATGGGTGGGAGCCTGAGCCCGTAGGAGGGGAAGGCGGGCTCTGGCCGGAAGAAGCCATACGGGACGGGCAGGGCGGACTGGAACTGCTGCAGGAGCCGATAGTGCTCATAGGTGGAGGCCGGCGCGGGCACGTGCTTGGGCATCGGCCCCGGCTGGGGCAGGAAGTGTCTCTGCTCTGGGGCCCCGTACACTGACAGCAGGGCCGCGTCGCACTCGGGCGGGTTCCCGGCCAGTAGGTAGGGGGAGTAGATGGTGGCCAGTCCGTGTTCCGTGTAGAAGTGAGGCGGGTACTCGGGGACTGAGGGCTGCACATAAGGGGAGAGGGTGCCGAAGCCCTTGGCAGCTGGGACTTTAGGGGGAAACTCGGGCGGGAGGAATGGCGGGCCCACTTTCCACGGGTAGCCGGGTGCGTGGAACGCAGACTTGGGGTGGAAGGTGGTGGCCTTGGCGGTGGGGCTGGGCAGTGCCCGTGCCTCAGGAGCCTCGGCGGGCCCGGGCCCTGTGAGTCTGCGCTCTGTGACGGGGACAAAGGCCGAAGGCCGCACGAGGCCTTCCGGAGCAGCCTGGGTGGCCTCGGGGGCTGGGCTCGGCCGTGCCGCGTCCTTGGGCAGAGCAGGCTTCTGTCCGGAGCCCTTGTGGGCCGCGCGTGTGGGCACGGCCAGGTTTTCCTTGGCGTCCTCCCTGGTGAGGCCGAGTGGGAGCTTGGCGTCTGGGTGCGGGAGCCCGTTCGGGATCGACTTGGAGGGCGTGGATTTCGCAGTGGTCTCCAGCTGGTGGGTTTGCTTGGGGTCTAAAGAGTTGGATTTGGGGCACTTGGGGACGCGGTCCTGCTCTGACACTAAAGTAATGGAGTTTTTGCAGAGACCGTACTTCATGTGGTTGAAGAGGTGTGACTTCTCGTTGCAGGTGAAGGGACACTGGAAGCACTTGTACTTGAAGGGCTTTCCCGGCGGCCTGGGGATGTAGTGTGGCTTTTTTGGTTTCCGCTCTTTGAGGAGACTCATCTTTCTTCCGCTGTCCTCCCAGGGGCTCTCTCCCAGCCGGCTCTGTTCAGTTTGGACTCGGTGGCCGCGAAGATGTGTGTGGCCGTGGGGGTGTGTATGGCCGTTTCTCTTGGCCTTCCTGGCCACGTGCTTTTATTTGACGCCGGCTGCACGTGCCCCGGGCCTGCCAGTCTCGTTCATCTGGGAACCAGGAGCTGCAGTGGAGAAGCAGAGCGTCAGCGTCAGCAGCAGCTTAGGACTGACGGGGACCTGTGCTGGCAGTGGGTAGCGGGAGTTAAGCGAGGCAAAGGCACCTGGAGAGACAGGAGACACCGCCACCGCTGTGGCTGCGGGGGTCTGGGGTCTGGGACGGGGTGAGCACCAGCTGCCCCTGCTCAGAACTGCCTGCCACCTCCCCCCGCCCACGTTTTCTGTTCTCTCAAGGCTGACCTGAAAGAATTAATCTGGGGGCCGAGAGGAGTGTCCTGTGTGGCATGGTCATGGTCAAGTCTGAGAATACCTAAATTCTCTTGAGTTTGGGGAACTTTCACCCTGTGACCTGAGGCCTCAGATGCCTAGCAGATTGTGGACTGAGAGGGCTGAGTGACCATTGGGGTCCCGCCCTGCCCTGTCCACGGAGTTTCTGATCTGAGTGGTGTCACGACGTGCTGGTCTGCGTGTGCTGAGTGTGACTGCAGGGGGCCTTGGGGTGTGTGCTCACGTTCACCGAGGACCATGGCCGTGTGGCTGTGACGTGCAGCAGGGCCCTGTGACAGGTCGGCCCTGTTTAGTCAGTTTCTGTGTCCTGTGCAGGGGCATCACAAGTGAAAGACATTTAAAAGGACGGTCCCGCCTGCTTCCAGAGTTCCACACGGACCGTCAGCTTTACCCGTGGGCAGCACCCGTGCGTTCTCACACTCCCGTGGGAGTGCCGGGCTCGCATTGCCTCACATAGGTTTGAGGGGCTGTCAGTGAGTCCATGAGTGACTGACCACTGGCCACCTCGTGAACGGTGGGGAGTGAGTTGGCGCATGAACCCCGCCTCTGCCTGGTTGGGTGACCAAGAACATGGTGGGCCGGGGCGCCTGCCTGCCTTCCCTGTGCTTTTCCAGATGGCAGAGCCAGAGCTTTGCAGCCCTCACGGTTGGGGGCAGGGGGGCGGTACCCAGGAGTGAGATGGCTGGTTCAGGCTAGGGAGCTATCCAGCCTTTTAACCTTTGGGAAGTGGCCTTTGGCCATCTAAGCCTCAGGCCATACCCACCCAGGTCCCTGACAAGCAGCGGTAGCCCCGGTGGCTGGTGGCCGTGGGGCTGTGCCCTCCTCTGGAGCCCTGGGTCCCAGAAGGGGCTGTGAGTGTGTGGCCTTCCAGATATCTTTGCGGAGGGTCCTACTTTCCCTGCCCACCAGCACCCCCAGGCTCAGCCCAGTTTCCGGCAGAGGCCGCTCTGCCTCCCAGCCTGAGAACAAAGCCGGAGTCTGGGAGGATCCCAGGCTGGCTGCTGGAGCGGCTGAGAGAGCCGTGGGTGGGGACAGCTGCTGGGAAGTGTGAGGAACCCAGGCCCAGCGCTCGAATTTGCATGAAAATGTGAAAAGGAAAAGCCATCAGCTTCTGCTGGTTTCCAGGTTGCTTAAAAATAAACTTCAAAGGGAAGGATTGAACAGAAAGGCTCAGCTGCAGCTCTGTGCTAGGGACTGGGTGGCCATGGCTGGGTGTCACGGGAAGCTTCCGCACAGGGCTGTGAGACTCTGAAAAGCAGCCCGAGGGGACACCTGAGAGAGCTGCTCTCAAAGCCGCTCCTTGCGACCCACGCAGGGGGTGGTGGGGGTGAGGAGGTGGGCTGGGGGGTGATGGGTCTTTTTTTGGTGGAGCTTTAATTTTCACTTGGATACCATAGATTCTCAGCAAGCTGTCAGATTTTCTTCTCAGCAGAGTGGTTTATCTACTCATTTATTCATGTTTCTTAAAAAGACAAACCACCACTCTCCTGCCTCTGGTGAGCTCGTGCTACCGGCCCTTTCAGAGGGGCACATTGGCTGCGAGGATGTCCAGTGGGAAGGAGGCTCTGCGGGTGCCTGCAGCCTCCTGAAAGTTTTTGCAGAGCCGGCAGCGGGCCATTTTGAGTGAGAAGGGAGATTCTGGGCGCCCCACAGCCGGAGAGGGGCTCCTGGGCCATCTCAGCAGGCCTTGCCATGGGCAGAGCCAGGCATGGGGCGCCCGGTGCCCAGGTCACCCTGCCCCTCCTTTCTCAACGCGTGCTGCCGCGGGGGCTGCAAGGCTTTGTCAAAGCCCAGCAAATTAAAACGCACGATCATAGCTCTGCGTCCTTCCAATTTCCCCTCTTATTATAGGCAAAAACGTGAACGGATTCTTCATGAGTCTAGCTTATTCCTTGAGGGGCAGATATGCTCTGGGCGATGAAAGCACAATTTCCTCGCCTCCGTCAGGAAGCAACTCGATTCCAGCCAGGGCCGGGCCAGCTCGATAAGTCAGCGGGGCCTGTGCTGGCATGTCTCATTACGCTCCCTGATTCTGAAGGCGTGAGAACCTCTGCAAGGCAGGTTCCCATGATCGTGTAGGATATGTTATGGCAGAGATCTGAAAACTGATGATTTCATCACTAGCTGCGAGCAGCATGATCAAAATGATGACAGTTGCAAAACATCTATCAGGTGTGAGCCCAAAGCCCCAGCGATACCGAGAGTGGACACGGACCCGCCCCCCCGCGTTGAAGCGCGCGTGAGCTCAGATGGGCAGAGCTCCCTCGGGATTTAAGAAACTGGTGATGTTGGTTTTACATGCAGTGTTACTTGGTATTGCTGGTACTTCAGGCGAAAATATAAATACACCCACATGGGTTGAGTTTTCTCAAAGGTTTACCGGAGGCAGCTCAGGTGTAAGTTACAGTATCACCCAAAATAAGGATCTGAGAGGTGATGGCTGTTATGTCAGCATACACCTTTTTCACTGAAATGAGGCTGTGTGTAGAGTTTTGGTCTGGGCCTTTTCATCCTCCGTTGGCTGACAAGGACAGTTTCGGGGAGAGCGGTGCCCATGTTCTAGGAGGCGGGCGTACTCCAGGGTCTCGGGATTGGGAGGCCAGCCTACGTGGACGCCCAGGGGCCGCTGTGTTGGTGACTCTGGGCAAACTGACCTCAGGGCCGCACCGTTCGCCAGTTAAAGCAGGAGGCACAGCTGCTGCAGGCGCCAGTGGGGACGAGCGGGCTCCCTGGGCTGCAGAGGTGCCAGAGGAGTGGTGGGGCGAAACTGAGACTCTCGTCAGCTTTCGAGGGGACCGCGTGTGAAACGACGCGTCCCTGCTCCTGCCCCAGGGAGCTTGCAGGACGGAGGCGCGGTAGCCGCTGCTGGAATGCAGCGTCTGCCAAAGCCAAGCCGCAGAGCCCCGAGCTGTCCCTGTGTCTGGGGCGGACTGGCCCTTGGAGGCGGTGAGAGGGTCTCACGCCCTTCCCGGGGGCGCAGCCCGTGCCCGTGCTAACGCTCGTCTGCAGAGCTGAGGGGCGGCTTGCTAAAGCGGGGCCTGCGGTGGGCTTTTGCGGGCTGCGGTGCCGGCGTGTTTCCACGGTCGGGCGGGAGCCCGCTCCTGTGGGGGGCTGGGGAGGCACAGGACCTTTGAGCTCCCTTCACTCTCACTCGGTGCGCTCGGAGTCTGCGGGGTCGTGGGCCCTGCCTGCTTCGCAGAGGGCTGTGCCCCGCCTGCCTCCCCTATGCCCGTGAGTCGCTGGCAGCCCGGCGACCACCCTTTCAGAGCCACCCACACAAAGCAGCTGATGGGCGCAGTGTCCACACCCAGGGCAGAAGGCGGGGGGGTGGTGACTTGAAGACACGCCCAGGGCCCGCTGTGAGCTTCTGCAGGGGCTTCCTCCTCTCCCCTGAGAAAGCCCCTTTGTGCCTTCTCAAGCATCTGCAATGTCTGCTGTGTGAAGCCGGCAGGCCTCTCACCGGGCGGCCCTGGTGGCTGCGTGTCCACTCTGCCGGCCACTCATACCGGCGGGCGGGTGTCACGGAACTGCCCACACAGCTCCAAGCAGCCTGTGGTTTCGATTGGCCACAGGGCTTTGTTTGCTCGTTTCTGAAGTGCTAACTTGCCAACGACTTGATGGGTCTCTGAGTGTGGACGAGTAATGGAGCTGCCTGTCGTCAGGACCAGAGCGAGTGGCTGGCATGTTTAAAGGGTTTCTAGGGAGTCTGAACTCTGAAAAAGGCGAGGGGAGGAGATTTTTTTGAACTTTGATAGGACACACAATAGAGGTAATTATAGCTTGACTTTATGGGACATGGCTGTGCCGGGCTGGGCAGCCGAGCCCGTCGTGCCCATGAGCCCGTGCTCTGGCCTCACGCGAAGACTCTTCCAAAGGGCCCTGGCACAGGGCCCCGTCAGGTGGAACGTCCTGAAGGGCATGCTATAATTACAATATTGTGAGGTGGCGTTATTGCATAACTCAGGGACACGCCATTGTCGCCTACCCACTGGGGTGTCGCAAGAACGAGATTTGTGAGTTTTACTCTAATTGAGCTTTTCCAGTGATTAACCACCACTCCCTCCCGGACTTTTGGTTCTTTAAAATGAAGAGTAAACTTGAGGACAGCCGTGACCTGGGGAGGACAGCTTCCCGGAGTGTGATTTGGAGGCCCGGGTCCAGGGAACAACTGGAGGCTCTTCCTAGTGTCAGCCGGGGGTCCCAGCTTACAGACGAGCGCTCCGAGCACTAGGGCAGCTTTATCGTTCGGTGGCCAGTCACCAGAGCCACGAGCTCAGTGCGCCTGCCTCGTTCATCCTCACAAAGGCAAAACCAAACCAGTTTAAAGCTTTGGAAGGGCTTTGTTAGTGCAAAAATAATAATTAGAACAACCCATGTAGACAGATTTTGCTTAAATGACGTCTGTCTTGGCTCAGACTAGGCCAGTAATCTGGTCAGTAATTGTTCTTACACAGATTTATGAGAAACTTTACAAAGGAAAGAGCTCTACTTTTGTAGATATGAGGATCTAATTTCCTTAAGTTTTTTATACCCATATTTCAAAACTACCTAATTTAAACTTAAAAAGGTTTTAAAATTAAGATATAGATTCACATCAGCAATTGTCTCATCGCATGTATAGATCTTTTTATGTTGAAATTCATCATAGCTTATTTTTAAGGTGAACAGATAGGCAATAATATAAGTTTGAGCTTTGTATTAAATTTTACGAATTTCGTGGTAGAAATGATTTAATCTCCAGGTAAGCATGTTCGTAGGCTTTGAATCAAGTGTGAGCCTTGTTAAAGTTTTGTAACAATGGTCTCCACTGCCCGGTGCACCTGCTGGGTCCTGAGTAACCCTCCAGCACAGAGCAGGGCAAGCGATCCACCGAGCCAGGGAGTTTAAGTTCCATCCGAGAGTAGTTTGGAAAGAAAACACAGATTTGAGAAGAAAAGGCAGGTACTTACCGGTGGCCGGCAGGGCTGGGGGTGCGAGGTGCTGGCTGTGGGGACGGTGCCCAGGGAGCAGGCTGTTCTCACGCCGGCTGCTCCCTGAAACTGGAGCACCGGCCGGTGGGAGGGGTTTAAGTGCAGGAGCCGAGCCCTCGGGGCGTAGAGATGCACCTGATATTCCCTCCTGCCCGCAGCTACGATTCATGTGTTTGCTCCCATGTGTTTGCACCCACCGAGCTGCTCACAGCAGCCTCACCCACGGACCACGGTGAGCTCCACTTGTGTGCCTCCCAGAAGCTCCTTCCGGGCTCTGAAGTGCCTTGTTACTGTCCCCAGACGCTCACGGTTAGAATGGGGACTAACTGGGTGGAGGTCAGGCTCGGATAAATCCCTGATGTTGTCATAAAGACAGCATGTGTGACCTGCGGGGGGCAGCAGGTCAACACTGAGGTTCAGTCTGAAATGTGTGTCCCCGGATGGAGGCTGGCACCCGCAGGGTCCCTGGCCCCGGTCTGGAGGCACCTTCCTTTCTTGTTGCCTTTTTCCCATTGCCCTGTGCCTGGCCGACTTTGTCCCTGTCCCGCCTCACAGCTGAGAGCGAGAGCCGGGAGGGAGGGAGACGGCCTCTGCTGCCGCCGCAGAGACCTGCCAGCACAGGCTGGGACAGCACCGAGCCGCCCGCCGCGGGGAGCCCTGGTGGGGCTCCGCGCCTGGTGGCAGTGGGGGTCCCGCACACTCCCTCTCCCCGCCTCTCCCCTGTAAGTAACTAGGACCCTGACTGAGCCAGTTGTCCCTCTCCCCACGGAAGCTGCTTGCTGCTGATCCCGGCTGTCTGCCCCTGGCCGTGAGGCTGCAGTGTGCTGTCGGTGTGGGGACGGGCAGGGGTGCTGTGAGCGGCTCGGGCGTTGTTCGCGCGTGGCTCCTGGCACAGAGGTGCGGGGCCGGCCTTCCCAGGCCAGATCTTGACTGTTTGTCTGTTTAAAAACTTTAGACTTAAGAGTTTACTTGGCTTTGCTTTCACATTGGATTCTGAAAAAAAGAGTTTTAAGTGACTTTTGTTCACATTAGACATCCGTGTAATTTAGAGTAAAAAGTGGTCGTGGAAGTCTCGTCACAAAAAGCAGCAGTCCCCCGCTGCTCCCTTACTGCTGCCGGGGAGCAGGCCACCCCGACACTCAGGCTTCAGCACCGTTGCGTCACGTCTCCTGACGCCGTGGGTCGGGAGTTTGGGCAGGCCTCTGCCGGCGGTTCAGATCCCGTGGGCGTTGGCGGTGCTCGTGGTGTCA